ATACATGCAATTCATAACGTCTGATCTCGAAATAGTTTGACTGACTTTTAATATTGCGAATAATTCGATGCAGACGGTCCAGTGCTCGTTCATACCACTTTCGGCGACCTCCTGAGATCGCTCGAAGCCCCGAGCGGGTTTTCGTCCCCCGAGAACATCGCTATGTCGCGCGAGGGCGTCATCGTGGTAAATTACGAACGTGGACACATAGCAGCCTTCACCATAAACGGAAAACGTCTTCGTCACGAGTCTCACAATGATAATTTACAGGTAATTTCCGCGCTTGGTACTTAATTTTTCGATAATTTATATCCAATCTTACTCGGGACATCACTATTTATTTCCAGTGCTTACTACTGAGCAGAGACGGCGAATACCTGATGACCGGGGGCGATAAGGGTATCGTAGAAGTTTGGCGAACTTTCAACCTTGCTCTACTTTATGCATTCCCTGCATGCGAAAGCAGCGTGCGTTCCCTCGCACTCGCTCATGATCAAAAGTGAGTCAAGTCGACATATGTGTTTTCTTAGAACTTTTACACGCTGATGCAACGCTCTCATAGTTTCAGGAGTTCACTTTAAACTCGTATGATTCTATACTATAAAGGGTATAAATATATTTTGTGTTTTATGCAGGTTTCTTCTAGCTGGTCTGGCAAACGGGTCCATTGTGATATTCCACATCGACTTTAACAGATGGCATCACGAGTTCCAGCAGCGTTACTGAAATTACGACTTCCTCTTTGCCTAAGAAGGCACAAGGCGCACTCCATAAGACGAACTCCTGCACTTAACTGTCCAAATAGTACGACAATTTCGAATTTACATGTATTTCTCGGACAAATGTCGCTTCGTTTGTTCGATTTCCCGTGGAGTTCATTCACGAGTCTGTCATTCATGAATGTACTAGGGGGAAAAGCATATATTACTTGTACGGTCCAGCTTCTCGGCGGACTTTCCTTAGATTTGCCGCAATTTATGGTATGCAAAATAATATTCTATCGGTCGTTTCGGATTAGATGTAATGAGCGGCAATGAAAACGAACGTGGTGCACTGCGTATTTTAACGTTTAGCAATAAACTCGCTTTCGTGGCTGCGTGCAGTGCTTCCGTGAGGGGGAGGAGGTCGAGCGGAGTATGATATACGGATGGCGAGGTGCAATCAGAGTTCCGGCCGTTTATCCCACGTACTATTGCCGAGTGGACGTCAAACCACGTCGCAAGCTTATGAAAAGGCGAAAGCTACCGCTCGAAACGCTAGTCAATTAACGCAAAACTCGGATCTATTTACGTTCGCGAGGGTTTGCGCGATTTCTTCTCGCGCGGCGCGGAGAGAAGGAGGTACGCTATACCGGGGGGGGGGGGATTATAAAATAAAAGGACGACGCGAAGGAGGAAACCGCGTCAACGAGACGGCGGAGCTGAACACACGTTATTTTTAATGCCTGGAACTGCACGTGGATTTGGCCCGCGCCACACTCTAGCGTTTAAATGTCCAATTGTAAATACGGATATGTAATTCTTCACGTTATACATATATACATACACACGTGCATACACCGCGCGCTTGATTCCGCATATTAGAAGGGGGGGGGGGGCAGGGCGAGGAGACGAGAGGCGTGTATTATCGCGAGAGGTTTGCATTTGTATTCTTCTCAAACGTATTAATGTCGCTCACGTCGAACTTTTTGGCCAAGCACCTTGTACGTTCAGTTCGGACTACACGAACGCACTTGCGTATGTCACTTTTGGTGCCGGTAGCCCCGGTAGATGTTTCGCGGGGGAGAACACGCATCGCCAATCATTCTCCCGGCCGCGGTATCAGCCCCCGAACCCCCGCCGCCACCGCCGCAACACTTTCTACACCCTAATGTTCGCGTCCTTCGAAAGAGATCCTAATTTTTATCAAAGCCGTCCAGCTTAACTTTTGCGAGGATATTTCTTAGTATTTTCGCACGCGACGTATACTAATCAGCAAAGCAAGTTATTTAGGCTAAAGTAACATCCCGAATTCATCCTTAACATTCCGCGACTTGTCGAGGATCGCGTCTGTGTGTGAATGCGTCGCCGGTGATCTCTAGAGTGTCCCCGAGTGACGATAGAGTAGGATATACGAGAGAGAAAAAGGAGGGAGAGAGAGAGAGGGAGAGAATGAGTGAAATGTGAAAGCGAGAGAATGAAGATAAAAGAGAAAACAAAGCAGACATACACTTTAACATCCAACAACGATTGGGGAAGAAGATGCTTGATAACTCATATATAAGCGATAGAATTACTAGCTTGATTTTCTGTTCGTACGTCATCGTAGAACATGTGATAGTCTTGTAGCGTCACTACAGAGTACTGTCATTCTGAGCCCTGTGTATTCCACGAACTAGTCGTAAAACGCAGGACGCCGCATAAAGTATAGCCTTCAGTTGTTCGTACGTATTCCGGACGTAGTGTATTGTCGTCGCAGCTTGGTTTTAATTATGCGTAAACAAATAATTACTTAATCTAACTAACGAGACACAGAGGGGTCGGGGAGTTTCGTTGTCGTTGCTTCGTAGTCGACGATGATAGATGTATTTCTCCGAGGTTGCCACGGCAGTTGTCGCAAAATCTTCGAAAGGATGACGGGAGGTGCAAGGGCGCGGGGACGAGAGAACGCGAAAGGATCGCGGGGGAATAGAAATACAGTTCATTTCCCCGCGAGTTTCTCAGTTGGCCGTCACGATGATTTCCGAGGATGCTGTGATTTTGCGATGCATCGTTATACAATTTGCATTTGGACGAATTGTCATTTGCTTTGTCCGAAACGGGACGAACGAAATTTTCAATTCTAGTAAAGTACATTGTTAGTTACCGGGGTACCTGAATAGAGTGATTTCGAAGAAACTCCGGAATATCAACGCGAGGGGTAGTTCCCGTAGTCTTTAAAGCGCACATCCGTAATAATTTTCATAAGTTTTTCATGTTGTCGAGCATCGAAATTTTTTACCTTTACACCATTTTATTGATTAGCGCTCGTTCAGTGCTGGGCACGATGGCAAGGAATAGATTTCCCTGCGCCTCGATACGTGTTCTAGTCAAGAATTACCGTCGAAACGCCGTCGTGAATCACCCGCGGTCCTCAGCATTTAGGTATCGATACACTTAAAACGATATGCCGTACTGTTTACTGTAGTTGTATAAAGTAACGGCACAAGTGCCGTTCTAGCGATCAACTTGGGCTTGCGGGATCACCGTCGTAATGTCGAGATACTCTCGCTGCGCAGCCGGGAACGATCGGCGGGCGAGCCTCGCAAATCGTTCGTCGGTGATCGTACAATTTTTCAATGTATAGGAGAACGTTACGTGTGCAACGTGTTAATAATGGTGTATTGCCACTCGTTATGGGCGTGCTTCTGCATGATCGTTCGTCGTTTCTTTCGCGCGGGAGAATGAGGGTGTGAATGGGAGAGACGGAATGCGGACGAAGGGCGGGACGACACCGGTGAGATGTGCCGAAGGTTGTGGGTTGTGTCTGGGTGCTTTCAACAGTATCGCTAATTTTCTTACGTGCGGAAGTAAACCTCTGTCACGCGTGTAAGCGTTTACGTGTGTACTCGATGTATAGGCGCACTGTCGATGCACTTTATTTTCGCTAAAAACCACAGGGAAAACGGGGGAGGTAAAGAGCGAGAGGCACGCGACATTCCATCCGCATTTCCTGCTTTTAGCCGATTTATAATTGCGTTTACTTATCTATCTAGAGCTGTGAGGGAGGGAGGTAAAAATTGGAAAGTCGCACCTTGTTCATAAAACGGTCAAATTAAAGGAGAAGTAGTTGAATTGCGAGACAACGGGGATTGTCCCGACGACGCGTGGCGTTAGCGAGCATGTGACGTGCGTTCGGCACGGATTTTCGCAATTATTCAATAAGCACGAAGGCAGCGTAATGGATGAGAGTGCGTCGGGGTGACGAGAGGTCGCGTAAGAGAAGAGTTTTTATATTTGTTTATAGATGTGTGAGAATGTGCTGCACTCTTAAGCAAGTTGTTAGTGAATTCCCTCCATATTGCTAATATACATAAAGGAAGTTAACTCAGATCGATTTCTGTCCGTACTCGAACATTCAGTACACAAAAAAAAATATTGCTACTATTTTAAATAACGCTAAGTACAACGCTACAAGAGTTTGCCTATATTATTATTACGATTTATTGTCGTCATTATTATTAATATTCTTATTATTATACGATTGTGGCTACATTAACGTACTTAATATTGACGGCTACCTATATAGATTTGTATATTCGTCGGATAAGGCCCTTAATGTTTGCGTGTTAAGTAATAATTTTACTGATCGACATTACGATTACGAGGAAGTGGAGCGTGATGGGAACTGTGTAAAGTTTTATCCGGTTCATTCATGCGCCGCGAGCTGCCCGTAGAAAAGTACTTACATCTCTAGATTAAATCGATGCGCCTGTTTATAAGCGAGACAGGGGAGGAACAACGCTGCAAAACACGCGGATATAACACTCAAGCGCTTACTTATTAGGCACACGTTTATCTACTTAAAAATCTGGTTTAAAGTCTCTCGAAGTTACATTTAAGAGCGACCCCGGAGGGGAGGAGCGTCAGCGTAAACTGCAGCAGAAAAGCTCGACGAAATCGACGTCTCGATGCTTACAAGAGAGTCGTGGCCGGCCGAAAGCTTTCGCCGGTGCGCGTACGATCAGGTTTTTTCTTTTACATCGCGTACGAAAGTCAATATACACGCGTAGCCGTAAAGTTGGAGCAGCCTCGATCGCGCGGACTCAAGGGGGCTCGTCGAGCATCGTTTGCACCAATGTTTTATAAGCACCGACTCGGTTTTTTTTTTCTTACCTCGATCCGACGCGACCCGGTCTGACTTCGTGCGTGGATCACGCTTGAGCTCTTCCAATTTACGGATCGCCGTGATTACGTCTCGTTAGGATCGAGCCTTCCACCGCCGCGGGCGTCTTTGGTGAACGTGTTTGTCATTTCATGAATTGAAAACGCGCGTGCACGAAAGAGAGAGAGAGAGAATATGACCAAATGATTGTGTTTCGCGAACAGATTGTAGTTAGTGGCCTAATTGTTTTGCCGGCGGTTTGCGAAAGCGCGTCCGTGACGATTCGACGCTCGATCGGTGGACGTAGGATGATCGGGCGCACCGTCGAAAGGGTCTCGACACTTGTCTCGTATCGATTTCCGGCGAAGCCAAACCGTAATCACGGGCACCTCGTCGTTAACAGAGGAGATACGCGGTACAGATTAATTCCCGCCACTTTTAAGGAGAGTACTACTAGGTAGAAAAGTACTTAAGTCGTTGCTACATACCAGTATATATAAGCTCTATCGCTTATTTTATACTTAGAAGTATTGTAATGTTCGATTAGAGGTAACATAATGGGAAAGTTGTATCCTAGCGTAAGGTAGAATAATCTGTAAAGATAAGTAGTCAAATAAATGAAAAGTACATTTGATGTTGCAGACAATCTTTTTCTTTTCTTTATAGCTTGGATCGATATAAGCTCGATGTGCGTTGAGGTGACGTTACAAAATCTATCGAAATTGAGTAAGTGGATGAAATTGAAACGTCATAATCTTCCTTGTTTATCGATTTATTTATGTTATTCACGATCATAACAGGGAGCACTCTGGGTGTGCTCAAATATACAATGTAGATATGTACTCGTTAGAAAAGTATACACATCGTCCATACCGATATTATTGTTACTTGCCCATAAATTAATTACGTACGATCGCGCTCATAATCGGAGTAGGTATTAAACAAAGTACTCATCCTTCGACTTATGCCGATTACGTTACCAGCGTAATTCTTAACATTCCATTTGCATGCTTGCCCTGCTCATGGATGTGCACACACAAGATCTATATATATTCATATTCTGTAATCCCGTACGCAGTCCGTTTACATCTCAAAGCCGATATTTTATCGTTCCTGAATCTGCGACTCAGTGTACGAGGTAGATGGAAAGAAACGTTTAAATTTTTCACACACGTAATAAAGCCTGGAAGCTTACTTTGGCATTCTGGATCAATTTGAATAATTTTGCGGCGATACTCAATGGAATCGAGAGGTCATTTTGCGTCGCATTGTTGTATAAGTACGGGCTCCTCGGGCACGTTTAAATACTACTCTCAATATGGAGCGATTGTTCCACTTATTACATGAAGTTATTTGAGAAAGCTCAGTCCTGTGGTAGAATGTCCCACTTGTACGAAAAATACGGTAGTTTTTTTTTTCCTATGGGCATTGCTGGAACAACGGAATAAATGAAAAACTCACCAAGATCTAGAAAGATATCTCTTACGACTTGTAGGTGAAAAAAGGTATATAGTCGAAGTATATGGATTCGAAATGGGAGGCTAATCTAGGGATCACTACGAAGCGCTGAAGATTCTACATTAAGCATGTATGTGGTTAAGAACATTACTATTATTAATGTAACACTACCTCTGGCTACGTAGTTACTTTGTGTGTGTTTTTTTTGGCACATTTTTCTCGCTAATCAAAATGTCACTCGTGTTATATCACCTCAGCTTTGATATTATATACTCGATTATCTACGGATTGTGTAATATAATTCTAAGTATATGTAGATTATGTTATACTTTTGCGGCGTAATTGCCACTTCCTCGCGCGACTGACAAGGGCTTGGGGGACTTGAGGTCGCAGAAAGAATTTAATGGGAAATAAAAAGAAAACGTTGATACAATTAATAACAATACTTCGCCGCTATATCTCTTATAACGTATTCGAGGATATCTGGTTTCTCATCCATTTTCCAGAAACGCCCATATTTCTCCGGTACTCAAATTCTCTCCATACATTCCGTGTAAACTGGATAAATGTTCTTAGAAATATGTCAGTAAAGCAAAAATCACACAGACTTATCAAAGATATTCACAGGTTTGGCCAAATGCACGACTCGCCGAATAATTAAACGGTTTTCCCCCACCGAAAACTCATCTATACTAAAATCCCGTGTTATTTCCAGAATATCGTTTCGATTATACTCTTAAACGCATACACGTAAATAATATACATATCCCATAATTTATTAAATTATAAAAGGACTGCACTGCGTCCGCCCTTTCTTCCTATCTGATATAATTAACTTACACGACGTATATTATATTATTATCAAGTTCACAATCGAGTAGTCGCGTCAGTTGCAAACGTACATTACGTGTACGGAGCAGCTACTGATATACGTGGTGTCTGGACCACGTGTGTTACTTGTACGTATATGTGTGTCAGTATGCGTATGTGTTCGGATACATTATCACAAACAGTGCCCGTTTGCATCGAGCATTATGTTTAAACATATATCACGTTAATAGAACATTTGCGCAGAAGTGGTAGCGAGCGTGAAATAATAAACGACTGCACAGATCCAACGCTATTTGTACTACCTTAGACATCTACCGTTATTCAATTGTACTCTGCCGCTAATATAATCCGTCTCGCCTGCATTCGTCTGTCTGATCTTTATCGAGGATAAGGCCTTATTACTCCTCACGCTCACGTGTGCGTCTTCTATAAAAACTTACTTTATCCGACCTCACGCGTTAATCTAGAACATTTAAGCTACCGTCATGCTCAACATCACGTGTGATAAGAGGAGACTCTACGAGGGATACTGTAAATACAACAACCTGCGTTTGAAACGGTGCGGGACCAGCCCGCACTATCCGCGAGCGGCAGCTCGAAAGACAAAGCAGCGCAAATTTATCTCGTTTCCGTCGCGATCGCCACCGGACCGTCGGAATTGAGCAACATATCTATGTTTCGCAAGTGATCGGTTCTTTTCGTTTACGCCGGATCGTTTATTATTTCATGCCTGCTGCACGAGGTAAGATTGCAAAGCACAGAGTTCGCCTTCCGGCCTTCCTTCGAGACAGAGGTTGTACTTAAGTCAGTCAAGCGATGTGCATTAAATGACGACAGAAGGAGACGATGTCCAAGCCGACGTCCGACAATATTTCCGAGCTTCTGCAGTGTTCACCTTCCGCCTTTTGTCTTCATCTGCAATGCGAGTTTCGTCAGAAGCGCCGATAACAATGCTGAATTTTCAATGAAGCAATGAATGAAACTCTTCAGTTTTAAACAAGGGAAAATAATTACGCTATAGCTAAGCGTCTCGCTCTCATCGCCCAATATTATTTGCCCCTGTTTATTGAATTTCCATCATTTTACCGTGCGAGTTTTTAGTCTTCTAGACTATTAGTGGACTGCTGGTGTGGACTATTCTACCCTTACGGCAAAAACACTCGAGTTTTCAGTGTTAACACTCAAAGTGTTTTGTCCGCAAGGGTAATCTCTAATTAAGGGGGCATAGGACTCTTTTGGCTTCAAAAAATCGGGAAATTCTTTTTTTGCATATTTTGAATGCTTAATGCTTTGAATGCTAATGTCTTAATAATGTTACCCCAAAGCCGTTTTTTGAAATTCGAAATAGTTTGGAAGTTACAGCACTTTAAACGGCTTTGTGCACAGCTGTCTGTAGCCTTGTTGCAAAACTTTAAACGCGATTTTCTCGAAACTGCACTTTCAAAATCGGTACCATGAATAACTCAAGGACGGATCAACCGATTTACTTGTTTTTTTTAATGAAAGCTTATAAAATTCTCTAGTCCCTATCGGATGCTTTTTTCGATTCTTTGATTTTATATATTTTTTTCCCAGAAAGAAAGTAAGAAATGTTGCCGAAAATCGATGTTTTACGTTTAAAAGTCCGCCATTTTGTTAAAAATAAAAAGTTTTTAAATTCCATCCGATAGGGACTACAATTTTTAGTATACTTTAAGGTCTTTCTTGAATTTTTTGTCTCAGATAATCCAACTCGGAGATATCTCTGGTACCGCAAAACGCTGCATGGTCTAAAGCGAGAGACGGTTGACAGAGTATTTTTCAATAAATTTAAAAATATAAAATTGTAAATAATAGTCAAAAAGATGTATATTTATTTATTAAAAAGCCCGATTTTTATAGCTTATATATCTTTTCCAAAAATAATCATGAAAAAGACATACATTTTACAGCCGAAAGAGTCCTATGCCCCCTTAATCACAAATTATCACAAAGTCCGCGTCAAGCAATTGAACCCACCTGCCGTTCAAGCAGCTCAGGCTTACTGGGAGCGGCTCCGAATCTACGGCCGGAATATGGCCGGATACAGTCTCCATTAACGGATACCATTGCGCCACCGGTTTTCTTGGATTATCTAGCATCTCTAACCAGTGATCGCGGCCAATTCCAATGAAGCTCGATCCAATCGCGGTGCAGCCCATCAACTCATTCGATCCGATTCTAGCGTGTGCATATCGAATTTCTTAATGTAGTAGAAGAAAAAAATTTGCACAATCAACCGAAAGACCGCCCCCTACCTGTCGTAATCAATTACTTTCACTATAAGACTGACGTCCTCAATGTTGTCCGCGGGAACGTCAAAAACGAGCGCCTCGTTGTAGATGGGGTAAAGAGTGTTCTTCTTCACCGTTGTCTTTTTCTTCTTTATTCTTTTGCCTTGGCACAGCAAGTAGACTTTCACATAGGGATCTAATGAGGGAATGAAACATATTCGGTCAATTACAGATAATAATATAGTAAAGATAATAATGGCAGTAATTATACAGGGTGAGTCTTTCCATATCCGACAAAATTTTTGAGAAGGTAGAACGGATCGAAATGAACGGAAAAGTCCTGTACCATTTTGCAATTTTCGTAATAGTTAACGAGTAATTAATTATTAAAAATCGTCTTAGGCCGGCCTACCGCCCAATTCGAGCGCGTGGCAAGATGTGACCGCCCGGCGATCGATATTGCTATGCGCACATCTCGCCACGCGCTCGAATTGGGCGGTAGGCCGGTCTAAGGCAACGATTTTTAATAATTAATTACTCGTTAAC